TAGTCAGTGACATCACCCTCGCCTGTGTCTCTGTCATTAGTCACACTGGTGTCACCTGGTGGCCTGGATATATAAACCTCTCTCCCTCACGGTTCCTGGGGTCATTTTGCTGTGTTCTGTGATTGCTGTGGTCATGGTCTGTGTTCATGCCTTGTGTTTGGTATTCCTGATGTTCCTGCATGGAAATTCCTTGTACTGCGTTCCTTGTTCCGTCAAACTCAGTGAGTTTTGTAACTTTGCCCTTTGGAAATAAATGACCTGCACCTGAAGAGAGTCTTCCTAGTACTGCGTTTCGGTCGTACGTGCTTTCTGCTCACACTGCGGCGAAACCTGACAAGCGACGCCAAAAATAATGCCTCCAATACTATCATATCCCCATCTCACATGGACAGATCCAGCTGAGGTCTAAAGGAAACGTGTGATTTCTCTCTCGCTGACCTACAACCCCGTCGGCTCCGAAACACACACAGATGTAACGCTGTATCTGTGTGTGTGTGTGAAGTAAGGTGCGTCCTCTTTCCTATATAAAACACACTCGGTGTGATGTTGCCATGGCGATTTTACATTCTTGTCAAAAACATAATGGTGTTGTTTAGACAGGTCGTGTCTTTTTAAAGGGCTGCTCTGTCTTTTCCTTCACAGAAGAATGAAAGGAAATGTGCTCACAGAGAAGCATGTGGCCAAATTTTTTTTTTCTACAGCTGATCATTATGCATGTTCTGGGTTTGGAGGAAAACACTGAAAAAAGTTTTTTATTTTAAGACTGGAATTGGCTCTACTGTAGCGGATAATGCAGTACACCTGCAATGTTTTAGAAAATTAGATTAATCCAACATCAAGCAGCACCAGAGTGGGTTAGGTGGTGGATTTTGGTTTAATGCATCATCGACGAACCTAAAATGTATTTTGGAAAAGAGGAACACCGCATTAGGTTGTAATCAATTGACTTGACAAAGAATATTGAAAATTTTAATTCAACAAAACTGAATTTAGGAGCGAGTGTAATGCTATTAGCCGAATGGAAATACTTTATACTTCTGAAATAATACTGCTTCACTTCAGAACCTAGGCTACCATTATCCTGTACTGGAGTCATATATACAAATCATACTCCAGCTACATTAGACTGACATTTTTTAACCCACTAATCCACGTGTCAAACCCAAGGCCCGTGGCCTGTGGGAGCTAAAAAAGCATTTAGGAAAGTCCATGCAGCGAAGTTTCTTAACCTAAGTAATTTTTTTTATTACACAGCAATGAGCAATATTTGTAACTTGAATAAATAGTAATCATTTGCAGAAACATGTTTTAGTCTGTTATGGAGTAGTTACATCTATACCAGTGGTCTGAAACATTATTTTAAAATATTTTCAGATTATCTTTAAATAAAGAAAGTAAATGGATATGACTGGGTTTTCTTTGAATGAAGTAAATTAGTAAAAATTAACTACTGCGGCCCGGTACCAAATGACCTATGGACTGGTACTGGTCCGCGGACCGGGGTTTGGTGACCCCTGATCTATACAGTCTTCCATTTACAACCGGCCCTTCAAGGGGAAATGTATTGCTGATGTGGCCCCCTGGTGAAAATGAGTTTGACACCCCAAAGAAATCCCATCCAAAAGAAAGATTTGGTGAGGTAATCTGTTCAGAAAATTTCCAAACTGAACAGAAACAAAAGCGATCTTCGGTGAAAATTTCCAAACTGAACAGAAACAAAGGTGATCTTCGCCCGATCGATAATTCAAATGGTTAATTCCATCCTCAATAGACTGTAAATATTTGGACTATTTAAAAAAAATCACCAGATTTGCTCTGATATTGACTTAATCCAGCGTTTCTGCACATTCTCTAATGCAGACTGACCACTGTGTTTCTCCAAACAGTCTTATTGAAGTCTTTAATCAGGACTAATGTGAAATGTACTACACAGCCAGCATTCATCATCTGAAGCTGCCTCACCGTGCCACCGATCAATACTACATTCAGTCGAGCATTGCTTTTAAAGGAGCACTGCACCTCTTCCCACACCTGTTGGGGTAACACAGTATGAACTCCAAATGCAACAGGTGAAATTTTCATTTTTAAATTTTTTTGGCTGCAAATTTAAAAAGTTGACAAACTGTCATTTTCAGTCATTTTAAAGACCTTTGCTGTCGCATCTCAAAGGTCTTCCAAATATCCTCCGTGTAGTTCACAGATACTATATTAAATTTGTTGAGATGCTGTAACCCCCTGGAGTCCGCAAGGGAAATTACATTCAGTACACACTCTGTGGACTGACTGACACACTGACAGCAGAATTAAAACGTTTATTCACACACTCTGAAATGTCAATGGAGATATCATTATTAGATTCATTTTATGGAAGGCCATCTCTCCACGGAAAGTGGGAGTCGACAATTTTGTCGCCTCGCTCATTGTGTACTTGTTTTTTTTTATTTTCCTGGGACGGAGCCGAGCTGCTAACAAACGGTAGTCTTTTAACTGGATCTGGACGTTTGTTTATATAGGTGTGGACTTGGGTCATTTCACAATGGCCTTGTAGCAGGAGTTTGTCTGCAGTGCTGCCAAATTGGCCTAGTATACAAAGTCAGCAAGAAACGATGAGCCTTCGCAGAAAACCTTCTATAACTCAGCAGAAAATGCACCTTACACCGAGCTTTTGGATCTCTTTACTATGTTTTTTTAATGAAAGTGCAGAGTAAATGTACTAAAACCTTTACGGTTTAGTTTTTGTCTCCAAATTCGGCAATTCACATTAAGGTATAAGGCTTTTAAAGGGCTTTTATACTAGTGGTTCCCAAAGTGGGGCACGGGGGCCCACCTGGTTGACACGTATTGGTTGAAGGGGGAGTTTTCAGCCTGGTGGAGTTTTTTGTAAATTGCACTCATTTGTATTTGTTTTATTTTGAAAATTATATATATCATATAAAATTATTATTTGATAATTATTTAAAATTATAATGATATTTGTGTATTTTTATTTTATTTATATTTTTATTTTTTATTAACTTGATTTCAGTTCTTAGACAAGGCCAATTAGCAGATCGTGACACGGCCAAAAAAACCCCAAAAAAACAAATAACGAATTCTCTGACTGAAACAAATCTTCCAGATGTGTTTATACCTAAATGGAGACGATTTACTTTAAAGGAATAGCTTTGTTAATTTTTCCTTTTCAGTCAAATAAATCCGTTTCCTGCTTGACTCTGAAACGGTTAATTCCTTTTTCCCCTTTTGTACGGTGCATCCTTATCTATTGCTGATGTCCTCGTCAACACTGTAAGGCAGATGGATGTATTGTCATTGTAGATGATACACCATGAACACAGCCTGACACTGTTGTCTGTATAATTCATTCGCCTCTTTGCATGACTGCAGTCCTGGCGAGGCGGACGGACACAGAGGTCAGACACCACCTGCTCTGAGCGGGTGAAGCTGCTCAAGTCGTATCAGAGGATACATCTGGTCAGAGACGGAACCAGCCGGATGTCGGTGGCAGCAGGCTGCCGGCCCTCAGGCTGGTGACAGACGACACAGCTGATGCTGAGGTCACTGCCACTCGCACGTAGGAGTCTGACTGGGTGGTTTTCTGTACAGCTTTACCCTACGCTGTATGTAGGCAGTTTTTCTTGCTATGACAAGTTGACTCATTACGGAATCATGACAAATTCCTTTTCATTTTTTTTTCTTAAAATGCAAGATTTATGGCCTATTTGCACTCGCCGTTTGTATATACACTCACAGCAGAGCGGCAGTGATGGATGTCTAAAGGTTTGTGGATAATTGCAGAGTCAGTATCTGTTTTCTCAAGGTAAAATGGTAACATCTGCCCTCCCGACTCACTGAATAAGAAATACTGGCAAACACAAGAACTGAGTCAGCAAAAGAGCAATGAAGTGAGAATTTTCCTTCCAGGTAAGAAACTCTAGATAAAGCCAGCACTGCAGAATACTACCCCCCCACCCCTCCCATCATCCCTCCACCCAAAAAAACTACTGATCATGGTCAGAACAGGATAATCTGTCGCTGTCAAACTGGTGCGTTTTCTCTTAAATAACATGTTATTAAGTGCTGCGCTGCCAAAACTGCACAACAAATCCACTTCAACCTCAGTTCCACAGGTGGGTTCATGAATCAGAAATTATTTGTTGACATCTTTGCGGTCCAGAATTTTCAGTTTGGATTTGAAGTCTGACTTGAAAACATCATATTATGTTGTGTATACATATATTTATATGCACAACATAATGTAATATTTTTTGATGCATCCCTACTGACACCGGGTCAGAGTCCAGGTACGGCTCACTAGCTTATGACCAGGACCCACCACAACATGGCACCGACGCCCTTCTGATTCATTAATACCTCCAATCAAGTGACAAGTTCCAGCTATAATCTAAAATTCATGCCGCAAAGTAGACAAAGGGTTTCAAATTTAAACACAGCTTTGCAGAACTGAACATTTTTGGACAGTCCCCTTTCACTCACAGGTGTTTTTTTAATAAATATTTAAAAGCTAAAATGTTGTTTGCCTGCAGCAGTCTGTGATGCCCCTTTGTCACCAATGCCGTTCTTCTGAGACTGTCCTTTACCGTTGGCATCGCGGCGTCCTTAACATTTTTGAGAGCGAGTCAAAGCATCGATGTGCTTGCCCGTGAACACGGCCTGACACTGACTGGTGTTTCAGTGGACTGTGTGATTGTCGTGCACTCCTAAAGGCAGCAGAGGGATGAGACATGAGCAAAGAAGAGGAGGACGAGCACATCTTCAAGTCTCATCTCCACTGCCTCTTTTCTTCTTTGAAAAGACTGAACCACAAAAGACAGCAGATATATGTGAATGGACTATTTTGTCCTGCCTTGAACACATCACATCACATCACTCCAGCCAGTCTCTTCTGTGAGTTTGTGATCAAATCAGGCAAGTGTGTGTAAATTGACATCATGTGATGAAGTAGGTTTGGCATTTTAAGAACAGATGAGAGGAAAACTCACTTATTTTTCTCCAGCCTCAGTATCAGCTGTTCACCTTCCGCGTGGAGCAGCAGCATCAGCGTCGCGGGGTAACCCTGGAACACAAACACGCGAGAGGAGTGTTGATAGGTGTTGCCTGCGTTTCACACATCCTGTCTGTGGACCAGAAATTGACTCACACTTCGCCTCGCACACCGACACACAAGGCAGGATGTGGCGCAAAGCACAATAGTGAAAGAACAGGAAAAATAGACGGACAGGAAGAAAACGTCCACATCCTTCGCTTCCCAAAACTTTGCTTGACGCAGAGGTGGACACCTTGAACTGTAGCCCCTCACAGCTACACCCTTCAAGACTGTCAACGAACGCCGCAGGTTTGTAGCAATAGCAGTCAGCCACAACTAGATGGTCCTGATTTTTTATTTTTTATTTTTGCTTTTTTGACATACATATGGAAGGTAACATCAGTGTGTTTCAAACTGGGGGCTACTTGGGGGACCTTAGAACATTGGAGAGAAGTTGAGAAAAATATAACTCATTTGTCCTGAACCGTAACTTGAAGCCGTAACCATCCGATTCTCAAGTTTAAGATGGTACCTGAATGCACCTCGTGCAACTTCAGCATAACGATGTCACAATCTGTGTAGACTTGGCGGTTGGCGCCTGTCTTCAAGCTGCTCTGCTGTTCAAGCTAACGTGTAGCTATAGCTACCTCAAATGGACAGGTTTTTGGGTTCACCTCAAGATCAAATCCCGGTTAGGGCGGTTGGCACCTTCCAGTGGACTCACCACCCTCAGGAACTTTGACAAGGGGCTTGTGTGGTGCAGTGTGATTTGGGTGGCGGTCATGGCGACTTGGTAACAGATAAGCGGATGGATGGATGGATGGATGGAAATTCTCTGTACGTAAATTCTCAAACGTACATATTTATCTGTAATATTGGTTTATTTTGGGCAGTTTTGTGCTGTTGGTTTTGTCTACACAGCCATATCCTGGCACTGATGTAGATTATAGATGCAAATATATATATATATATATATATATATGTATGTATGAAAGAAGAAAGCTAAGCACTACCTTATTTCTATATTCTAATGTGTGTTTTGCTCTGCGGAAAAGACTCATCAGCTGCTGAGGCAGCAATTCGGTGTATTATTAAACATCATGTGCTGTTCCCACAGAATCTATGGCCGCTGCCAAATGAGCCAGGGTAAAGTGTTATGACTCTAAATAACACTTTTGTTGCAACAAAAGAATGCGTTTTTTTTTTCACTGCAATTTTAAAGCACAATACTGACTCTATAAAATGCCACATCCTATAAAGTCTTAACATAACAATGTTTCAGACATTTATTTTTTTTTCTCCTGGCAATATTTATTTGTGCAGCCCGTGTGGGGTTGTCTAGTAGGCTTAAAAGTGGGATCCCTGATTGTTTGTTTAGCAGCTTCGTGTGGGCCACATTGAGAGAGCGTTCGAGAATATGGGCTCCTTGCTCACAAAGCCGTTGCCATTCTTCTCTTCGACTGCATCTCGCTTCATTCTCGTCAGCTGCTGCTCAGCCCTAACAATAGGCCGAATGTTTATTTTCTTTTCCTCACATATTGGAACCTTTTATAAAGGTTGGATTGCTCCTTTATAACTATTGCTGTTTCCTGCTGGTCGGGAAACACTAGTTAGTTTCCCGACCAATGTGGGTTTGTGCTCCCTGTATAAATATTGCATCAGAACAGTCCATACGATGCAGCCCACTGACCACATAAGGTCAGTGTTCCAGATTTAGTGTCACACTGAATCACTTTGAATTTATGAGTAACATTCCCAGGAAACCAAGATTCAAATATTATCTCACTCTCAGGGAAAAGAGCATCTGAAGACTTTTTCAACCCTTACACCTCGCAACACGTACATAATAAAGAATTCAAGAGTGAGAGAGAGAGAGAGAGGGAGAGTCTGTGTGCACTCTGGGTGTGAGGAGATAACATCGTAGCGTTAGTCCAGCAAAGACGTCAAGTGATGACTCTGCAGAGCTTCACCGCTGCTGTGTAACAGTCCGTAGGCTCATGGCTCAGCTACAGCACGTACTGTGTAGAAATGTGTCGTCCAGGGAGGTTTGAGCCAATGCCGTCGTCTGATAAGACAATCAGTAGCTGCCCTGGTGGTCAGTTTAATTTGACAGAGGTCTGCTCATACATAAACTACCATAAAGCCACTTTATCTCCGCGGCGAGAACGCTCTCCGTCAGCAGCGGAGGACAATTACAGAACATCAGACAGAGGCAAAACAGCAGAGGATACAATTATCTACCCCAAAAACCACAACTTCAGTTTTTCATATGCCTCTGTTGAATGTATACAGGAAAGTGCGTCATATGCAGTTAATAACATAGTCTTTTAATATAGGGACTGACAGTGAGAAAACAACTGAGCCCAAGGAGGAATTACTGTATTTGTTATGATTAAAAATGCTACATTCTGCTAAATGACATTTCTAAAAAAAAATTCCTTTTTTACATTATTTTTTCTGCCCCATTACCAAAAAAGGTGGTTGTTTTTCTTTTCAGTTTAATTTGAATTCAGACACATACAGATGTAACAACTTAAAAAACACAAGCACCCGTGTTCAGAAAATAACCATTATCTTGTTTGTTATTAATATTTTACTACTCCCTTTTATGACCTTTTACCTAAGTTTACTACTTTTACTCATTACTCATCTCTACTTGGCCTTTAGAGGCGAGCCCTGCGCAAGAATTCCTACTATATATGTCTAAATCATTGTTTCCCAAAGTTTGGGTCGTGACCCTCAGGTGGGTCGCAAGAGTTTTTTTTTGGGTCGTCTCGTATCATGTTTCCCAGGAGCTTAAGAATAATGTGTATTGACTTGGGTCGCGAAGGTTTGTGACTTTTAAAATATGGGTAGTTTGGGAAACACTAGTCTGAAATGTCTGGTTTTGTGCTCAAATGGTCGACAAAAAAATATTGAATCCCTTTTTTATTACTTTTCTTTTTCACATAAAAAACAACCATTTTCACCAGTTTTTTTTTGTTTATTTTTCCTCTTTCTGTATATTTGTATCTGTATAAGAGACAGGTCTAGGCTGCAGGCTGGTCAGTCTGGCACTTTGCCTGAACGTGAGGCTTAGCATTGTCCTGCTAAATATATATATATATACATACACTATATATATTGTATATTATATCTATTGCATACAGGACTGGCTCTCATTCCACCCACACAAAGGTGAGAGGTCAAATCATGAAGGTGAGAAAGTCACTCAGACTGAACTAAAGTTAAAAGCACGTTGCCATATGTCAAACAACCGGTCATTGATTTTTTGGAGTGCTCCTGTAAACACATCACCATCAGCTCTGGGCTGCTGCTGGAGCCACCACACAATTAACTGTGAAATTACTTGTGTAGTACAGTGTAGGTACTATGGTAGTATTTACCCCGGCTCGGAGCTCACTCAGTGGTCTTTGGTCTTTGCCTTTTAGCAGCAGAGGTACAGTGGTCCCATATTGTTTTGGGCCGTCCGTTCTCCCTCGATGTTTAGCCTCCTCTTGGTCACCTGTAAAAAAAAAAAATCATATGGACACTATCAGAGTGCTACAAACATCTTAGTTGCTCCCACAAACCCTCTGTCAGACAAAGGTGTCAGCAGTATTGTTGAAAACAGCTTAGTAATGTCTTTAATAATAGAAGCCAATAGAAGCCATGAAGCACAACACGACTAAAAGTTTGCACGCGGTGTCGCTGAGAGTGAGTTAAAGCCCACTCTCGGCGGCGTTTCCTCTGAGATGTTGCCTTCTCCCACAAGGCCTCTTCAGTGGGACAAACATCACTGATGGAGGCGCAATAACAGATGAGGAACTTTATGACATGTCCAGAGCCGGACCAAAAGAAAGTGGCGCAATAAAGCTGTCCTGTCCGCCGTTTATTTCGTGGTGTTTCACCTTGTTATACTCTCTTATATACGCGCTGTCACTGCAGTCGCCCGCTCTCACTGCTGCTCTGCTCCCTGTGCGCTCATGAAAAATTGACCATTTTGATATTACTTTTGAAATATACACTAGAGTTTTTACAAACATGTTGTTTGTGTACTTTTAATAAAAATAAAAATGTGAGATTTCCATTTTAGTAATGCTGAATTTTGACTTGAAATTACTGAAGTAAAATTTTCAAAAATAACTATGGTATCTTAGGGATTGTATTACCACAAAAAATATTGAGTTTAACCAAACCAAAAACATTGTATTTTTTAAATACAGCGATTTTACATGGAACACAGTTTACATATATCAGTTCAGTTCTTAGCATTACACATTTACTTGTACCCTGCAGTGCCTCAGTCAGAAAGGATTCGCAGAATAAAATAGCCATTTGGCTTAAACGTCCGTACATGAATAATGAATGTCAATATGTATTAGCCGGAAGCTAACTATGGTAGAACTCCCCATTGAATGTTGTTATTTGAACAGCATAAAACACCCAGAGCATCTGTTCTGCACTATGTTCTGTTCCAACAGACATTAATGGAGAATATGAATCCACTCTTATCAGTTGGGAATTGTACTCATAATTTCCATACACCCTAACCCAGCATGTCCCTATTCACACAGACTGATTCAGCGTGTCTGTGGTGAAGTGAACATCCCAGGAGGTTCAGTGAATGTTACAGACTGGACATGGAGGCAGTGTGTGAGGGGAAAGGTTTTTCTGCGTCTGATATCAACCGAGGACGACAAAAGAGCTGCGTCTCTCTGTTTACCGTGCGGCCGCGGTTCTGCTCTGTTCGCTTATCCCTCTGGCGGCGTCTGAATGTGTGTGCCTTCACGCCGAACAATAAAGGTTCAGTGGACTGGAGCGAGCAGCAGTACTACAGTAGTAGTAGTAGTAGTGTTATTATACTGAAGTATTCTTGTCCCAAACGGAGAGCACTCTGTCTGTAACAGACGTTTTTCTTCTTCTCTCTCTCACTAATGGCAGCTACAGCTACATTTTTTCTCTTTAGCTTCAAACAGCCTGTCAGGCTCATTTAGTCGCCCCCCCAGTCACAGCGTAGCCCGGAGTTCTCCGTTTTCCACGGAGTCCATAACGAGCTAACAAGGTCATAAATGGGACCTCCTACATTTAAGGAGGAGATATTTGAACATGCCGACGTCGGTTTGTTGAATTTAGCGGGGCATAAAGTGTGTGAGACGGACAAGAGCGGCCTCGAAGAGAGAGACCACAGGCTGTGGAGTGAAGTGTCATTAAAAAGCATCTATAAAAAGGAAGGAACCGGCAGAGTTCTGGTTGATTAAAAAAAAAAATTCAACACTTTCATTGGTGTCCCTGAGAATCCATTTGGCTTTCTCAGACACAGAGGGAGCATGTGTTAATTAAACAATGCCAAATTAGGAAGGAGAAAGACTGGTCGGCCAACCCCGAAATGCGTATAAAAGACTAAAGAGTTTGGCGTGTTTGGTCGGCTACGAAGTCATCAAAGTAGTTTGAAACCTAAAAGCTCAACACAATAAAAGATGAATTGTTTAAACAGTTAATAAAGGTTTTAGCGATGTAAACAAAACATTTCCTTTGAGCACACACAGCCCTCGTATGTGTTGTTTACAGCTTTAAAAATATATATTCATATATATACTGCATGAACATATATACAAATATTTATAAACATTTACACATATATATGTGTATACACATATGTCTATATATAAAACAAACAAAACAATTATTTGGTCTCTGAGGAGAAACACAACATCAGTGTTTTTTTTATTTACTTTTTTCTAGTAACTTCTCCCAGGGTTTGTATTGATTTGGACGGAGACTAAACATCTGTGATCAATTAATCAAATTGCCATTAAAAAGTGAGGAAATATGACTTTCTCATCCATGCCTTCTCCTCTGGGATCTTAGAAATTCCGACTCTTTTTTTCCCCCCATTTGTTTATTTTGGATAATAAATGAATCCCTGAAACAGCCGCGATCGTTTTCATTATTTGGGTCTAAAACCTTCACCACTGCAGCGTCCCCCTGACATTTTAGTATTCTATTCTCAACATTACATGCATTATTAATTAACCTGATGAGTAATGAGGAAACAAACAGCCTGTAATTTCTACATTACAGTTATTAATAAATAAAATAAGATGTAATTAATAACCAACGACAGCCTTCGGACATTTTCTGAAAACATTCCCGTTGGTACGTTCGTGGGTGTGTTTACGTTGACTGCTGCAAATAACGCTGCTCCAACATATCATTTATGAAGCAGCATGATCCTTATTCTTCTTCAAGAGGACCCAGGATGTGCTGCTCTGCATTCACACTTAACTCCACGTCTGCTCAATCGGCTCTGTTACCACCGAGACCTGCTGTCCAGATGAAGAGAACGCTTAGTGGATGCAAGGGCGGAGCAGCTGGACGGAAGGATGTGGAGATGTGTAGCCTTGTTGACCTTAGACAACATTCGCATAATAACACCTCGCTGTTTGTGAAATGGGAAAGAACACCGTTGTGGTGACATCTGCAATTACACCAGGTGGTCAACGTGCCAATTGGAAAACATTCGCCGCCGTGAACTTAAATGACATCTGCCTAACCCTATAATTTAAATATTTCACAATCAGCAGGCTGCATATAACATCGGCAATATGCAATTTCAATTAAAAAAAAAGAATTTTTTTTTCTACCTTAGTGCATCTGTTCTTGGTTGTTTTGTGGAGCTTCAGTCACCACCAGTTGGTCCAATAATCTAAACTTAGACACAAGCAGTCTACCAGGAAACTTTGACAAAAAGAAAAATCTACTTCTAAACTAACTATCCTGAAGATGTATCTTCACCGGAGGTGCTGACGTGATATAATATTCCCTCCAAAACAGGTTCAATCCCCTCCATCAATAGCTTTTATCAGCCTGAGAGCTGACAGATGAAGAGCTTGGCTTGACTCCAATCAACAGTCTCTCACTGCGAACACTGTGACACAGAGATGTGATGACCTTTCTGTGGTGAAATCACTGACGTGGAGAGACCTGATGCTTCAGTCTCAGCAGCTCCCGTGTGTGGCAACACGGCCCGATCACTCCGAATGCATCGTTCTAGTTCGCTGTCCTTTCTTACGACCAAGAGACTCTTTCTATTTCCTTTTTTTAAAAAGCCATGAAAACATTTAATTACTGATTAAATTAACCGTATTTTCGTTGCAAAAAAACCCTCAAAACCCAACTGTTTCCTCCTATCCCTCTGCACTCACAGATCATTCGTAGCCTAGCTTAACGCCAGAAACAAATAATCTTCGCTCTGCAATAAAAATGACACATTCAATCACTGTGGTCAATAGATTAGAGATGCAGGTGGTTGCTTCTCACACCGGTGTATTTTTATATCCTGTGGAGAATGATGTCTGTGGCGGTAAATGCTTCCAGCATTAGCATTTATCATACAGAGTCTGACTTTTACCCTTTATTTTACCTTTACCCCAACTGTGTTTGGGTTTAATCATTCATTAATATAATGGTATATTTAACTGTATAGTTGTTGTGCCGTCGTCCGTCACAAGTTGTGCTAGTGAGTCAAAATCCTTTTAAATGAAAAAGGTTGATGGATAAAAGGAAAGAAAAAAAAAACCCACACACACAGGAGATAAAGGGGTTTCTTTGGCAACATTTTTCAAATGGTGCTCAGCTGTTGGGTCCAGTCTGCTTAATGGGAAGAGTTCAAGAACATGCCATGCTGCACCCCGAGCAAACAGACTGCACCTGGGCCACTAGGACTGATAAGAGCTGCTCACTCCCCGCCAGCCAAAAAAAAAAGTAAATGACAGAGAAGATAAGAGGACTACAGCTGGAATAAAGTTTTCAGTCCAAGGGAGATAGTTGAGCCTTAGTATCACATATAAACATCAGTCTTGAACACACCGTGGTTCTGACCACAATATTTTAAGAAAGATACATTGATGTAATGTAATTTACAAAATAAGGCCAAACCTACAAAAACTAATTAATAATATATTTGGCAAAAATTTCATAAATGACCTGAACGCTCGAGCGGGTCAGAAAATCTATAGAGGAAGAAGAAAAACACACTGAGGAGAATTTAAAAAGAAAAACATGTCAAAACAAGTCAGCGGCAAATGTCATCTCAGTTGTTGCTTTTGACCTAAAGCATATTTTCCAAATTGGTGAGGAATGACCTCCAAAAGGCCAAAGTCAATGGTGGCGACTGTTCTGTAAAAAGCCCTCTGGTGTCTTCACAACAGAACTACAGAACAGGATTAATCCCTCGGAACGATTCATTTGTTCTCAATCGTACTCAAAGGCAGAACGCGACCTTCTCTGCTGGTTACCTGATGAATGTGGTTTAGGAATGTTCCACCATCATGGTGAAAGCGTAGGGCACGCAGTTTAGCAAATTTCATGTTCAATGTTTTCTTTCTTTTGTCCCACAGAGAATCTGAAGTTTTCAATGAAAATACTTTTGTGGGAATCATGGTGTTTTAGTGAAGTTTAAGAGGAGGAGCGGTGAATGTGTCAACGGGGGAGGGCCGTAACAAGTCCTAGCTACAAAAGGGG